GAAAGAAAATAAATTTGTGTAAACACCGTTGCAAAACAGTCCTCATTCCCATAAAATCCACAGAAATTTAACAGATAAAACAAATAAACTTCACAAACCCCCCATTAAAGTGTGGTTATGCACAAAACAATACAGGACGATAAGCTCTTTTAGTCTATAGTGCCAATATTAATTTTATTTAGGGATGCACCGATACCGATACTGGTATCGGTATCGGGCCCGATACTGGCCTCCTCATCCCTAATTTTATTTGTTCTGAATTTCACCTAAATTGTTATAAGGGGCCATTTGAAATACTGTATTCATGTTCCTAATGTAAGAAGCTTGTATGAACTGTTATGAAACATTGAAGATGTTTGCGTAATTTAATTTGCACTTTTCTTTTACTTTTCAAATTTTCTGTATCTTGAATGTTGTTGTACTTTGTGTGTGTGTGTGTGTGTATGTGTGTGTGTGTGTATGTATTGTAACCAGAAATCACGAACACTTGTGCTGAAATTGTAAACCTAATAAGATGGTGGGCGGTGACACTGATTGTTTGAGCTTACACTGGCTACGTTTACATGCACAGTTTTTGGTTCAATCGGACTGAATTCATTCCGATTGATGAATCTGAATGTAGTGTTTACATGAACGCTAAATAAAGTGATCGGGTTGATGTGCGTGTTTATATGTCACAAGCTTCAAATCGGAATTTATTTATTTTTTGACATGCGCACACTGCACAAATATAAAGTTTCTCACTGTTTGCACATAATAACCACTCTCCTACACTGTTTCTTTATTTGTTTTTAACAGCAGAATTAATATATATCCATTTATGGATAAATAAACATATAAACCGCTGTGCCGTGCTGCTCATACTTATCACACAGTAAAAATGCCCCTCCCCGCGCCCAAAACGGGTTGCCTGTGGATGAGAATCCAAAACAAGGACTGGTGGGAGGTTGTCCTGCTCCACTGCACAGTTGCATGGTTTTATAATGACAGGACATGCATTTATACAACACTTTATTCAAAAGGAAGAACCGCTC